GTTATACAAAGAACTTTCAGCTATGTTTAGGAGGAATAGAATGGGAATGACATAATGCTGGACTTCAAGTGATTAGGTCAAAACTAAGTCCTGGGAGGAGGAAAATCCTGAATTTTGAGTGATAGTTCCTTGTAGTAAACCCAGCTGGGTAAGTGGCAGAAGGCCTCTAGTTCAATGTTTCTGAAGTGTGATTGTCAAAACAATGAAAAAGAAATGTTTTAGTTTTGAAGAACGGTAGCGGAGTTATTTGATCTTTAGTGGTGAGCTCCCTGTTTACATCCAAGGTGAAGTTGGTGTATTTAACACTGCTTTTCATTGCACGGCTCAAGTCTGATGAGGTGTCCTCCACGTAGGTGCTGTACAAGCTAACGAGAGCAGCAGAGGCAAGGTTCTGTTTAATAAAAGGCAAAGTGCTGCTGGCAGAGGAGACCTAAAAGTTTCTTGAATGTTGACTCAAGGAGCATAGAGTTACAGAAGTAATGGGATGATTTTATTTTAGCAGGTGAGAAACCATAATCACGGGTTAATACCTATTAGAAAAGTATATGACACAACGTATGGGTGTCATAGGTGAAGTAGGTATTAATGCCTTTTTTCCTGCTAACTTCAAATGGTTGTGACCTTTTCATCTCTTGTTTAACACTGTTAAGGTTTCTTACGTGTTTTAATCCAACTCTTTGAAGCCTTGTGTTAAATTATAGCATGCTGTTGAAAGTTCATAAACAGTAGCTATATTCTCCGCCATTGATGACCGCTTTTGTTGTTGAATAAAACCAATCGTGGTTATCCTTATGTGTATCTGTATTTCTGCAAGGTTTAAATCTCCTTTTTTTGTGAGAGAAGAGGAAAAAAAAAGTTGTGCAGATCTGATGCTAATGAAAACATCATTATACTGGGGGAAAATGTACTGGAACAATGAATGGGTTTAATTGCCAATTAGGTTTTTGCTTGGAAATTCTGACCTGGGGCACAGAAAGGAGCTGACTTATTGGACAAAGCCTTTAAGCACTCAGGTGAGTCAAAAGTTGTAAGACCCAAGGCATGTACGCACATACATATACACACAGGTCAAGTGACTCCTTCGTTTCCTCTCCTGGCCTGAGAGGACTTGATTTACTCTTAGATCCAGTGCTAAATATACGTTCTTTGTTATTTCTATATTTTTCCTTTTGTTAATGGGCATAGGAGGATTTTTGCTTTAGGTTCAGGTGTTTTCTACCTGCAGTTTTGGACTTTGAAGAGAGAGGAATACTCAGAAAACAAATTCTTGCCTACGGATGGACATTTCTGTAACGGCAGCAGCCCCCAAAAGGCTGCCTGAGAGTTCTGTGTCTACAGAGAGAGGTAAGGAGCTTGAGATACAGTTTAGGAAGATCTTGTTTTGTGGCACAGTTGTTAGACTGCATTAAGCATTAATATTCTTACAGCCTTAATAGTAGAAGGCAGGCTTGAGAGAAAAATGCTGTCTTGATGGGGAGCTAGTGGTGGTTGTATAGAGTCTGTGAAACTCATAGCGTGTGAAAATGGGCTCTAGGCTGAGCTTTTACAGAACTTTAAGAGTCATTTGCTTAATTTCAGTACTTAATTAGCACTGCTCTGCCTGGCTGAAGGTGGCTATTGCTGTTGGCAAGGTCTAAGAGTTGTTTTTCAGGTGACATTATGTTCTGCAGTGAGCATTGAGAAATCTGCATTTGGTTCCAAGTTTCCCATGTGATTTTCTGCAAAGTGTATAATTTTTAGGTGTCTGGGTTTCATCATTATTTGTATACATTGTTTATACAATGGCATCTCAGGGCAACAGCTTGTTGTGGGCAGCGGGCTGATATTCATGAGATTTTCAGAAACTTGAGTAAGTAGCAAGGACTTACACATGGTGGGAGAAGGGAGAAGCTGCTGTGTATGGGTTGTGATCTGTTGCTTTCCTGTTTTGATAAATTGGGAGGCTGCTCATTAATTTAATTTTGGTTTTGTTGGTTTTTTTTTCCTCTGGCTCTGATGGGAGCTCTTTCAGTAAACTTCATTTGCCTCTGCAATGTTAAGGCGACGAGGAGCTTGAGGGTGTAATACAAGGGGTTTATTTCTGTTTATCATCTGTTCGCTGTTGTATTTACTTCATACCTAGGCAGTGCCGAGCAGTTAAACTTAATCTGGGTTTGAAATTTGTAAATTCTGATGAAGCAATAACAGGATTTAGTTTCAACTGTTACTGATTTCAGTACTAATGTAGTTTATGTTGTTCTTTAACTGACAGAGCTGTCAGTTACAGTAACAAGAAGTGTATCCATATTAGAAACATTTTCCACTTAAAGTATCCTGTAAAAGCTACTTTTCCTCTCATGGCTGTTGTGGAATCCCACTGCTGATACTTGTTTCTTTGCAGTCACATTTGATTGTTACGAAGTCTTTTTCTTTTCCCTGTTTCTTTGTGTATGACAGAAAGAAAATAACCTTTAACTAGGAATTATAATAATTGGCTACTGACAAAGCCCAGGCAGGCTGGAATGAAATTTCTCTGTCAGATCTGTCTGGTCTAATCTTGCTGTATTAGAGGAACTTCTTTCGTTTTCTAGATGGAGGAATTGAGGTCAGAGCTTTCAGCTTTTTCTCCAAATTATGAAATAATGTAGCAAACCATGGAGAAAACTCATATTTCCTAGAACTTGTCATTGTTTTGTTGACTAGAGCTACTCGTTTAAATTGGATTTCCGTGGGCTTTCCCCCCCTCTCTTTGGCGTCATAGTGCAGTGTGAAGTTGTCTCATTAGGATTGTGGTTTTATTAGGCCAAAACAGATTGAAAATTTTACTTTAAACTCCAGCTGCTTTGTAAACTTAGGGCTTATTTTTCCACTTGCATCATGGAAATAAGGTATGAAAACCAAAGTAAATTTTTTTTTGTGGGATATGACATACCATGTGTAGTTCTTATTGCAGTAATACTCAAGTTTTGAATATATTCTACATTGAATATATAGAATAAAATATATTTATGTAGTAGAATAATATGTGGAATGTATCTGAATATATTTTATATATAAAAGACAACATTGGATCTGGACTCCGAGTCAGAGCACTCTATTTAAGGGACATTAATGATGCAGCAGGTTGAAAGCACTAGGACATCTTCAGTGTGTGCTGCAGGAATTCACACCAGTGCTATCTGAAAAAGGCTTACTAGCTTTTTTAATTTACATTACAATTCCTAGAGATTTTCTTCAGGGGAGCAGATCGTGCTGAAGTGAAAAGGTGTAATTAGTGTCAGTGTCAACCTCCCGGGGGATTTTGGGGTGAAGCTCTTTGTCGTTCATTGCGCCATACGAGTAGCAGAACACCTTGCAATCACGTTATGGTACTAATCTGTACATTGTGCTGCGATACCTCAAAGGCTATGAGAAGATAATGAATATATGGGTAATGAAATCATGACATAATGGGTGTTCACAAAGTAGTCGTGCTGAACGTAATTGGTCTGCAGTGTTCATGCTGAAAACTGTAGCATTATGAAGGTGATGATACAGGAAATAATCTAACCCTTGGGTACAAGAAGCCTCTTTGGAAATACAGAGTCTTGCCTCTCCAGATATGTTTTATTTAATTTACTTTTCCAAATTGGAGATTGTTTTGAGGTAATCAAACCAGGCCTGAGGTATATGACAGCTCTTTGTTTTCATGCTTGGATTCCTGATACCAGTGAGCAAACCTTCCAGGATTAATGTTATGTCATCAAATAGCATCACGGGCTCCCAGAAAAACATGGCTCATCACTGAGGTGCGATGAAATCAGCACTGCCCTGAGTGCTGTGTCCCTTGATGCTGAGTGAGCACAGTCAGTTCTGCTGGCTCTGCTGTTGTGTGTGTGGAGCTGCTCTGAGTGCCGGGCCAGCAGCAGCTCTTCCAATACCACTATGGCATCTTTTGCATCTTAACTACCACTTGAGTTAGACAAGGTTTCAAGGTTTCCAGTTCTTTCCAGACTCTTGTTTTCAAACACTTTTGGTGGTAACTGAGCAGCAGCAAATATTTCACAGAATAAATACTACAGATTTGGGAGGTTTATTTTGGCTGTGTAATTCTATCAGAAGTTCTGATACCCACTTGAGTTTTATAAGATGGGTAATTTTGCAACTCTCTGAGACCAAGAGTGATGGGCTGAGATAATGATGATTTCTGCAGAGTATTTATCCACTTGTAGCTGGGTGTTTCTGCTTTTTAATGACTGTGAGTTCTCTTGGTGATGATTTTGGTTTCACCTGTACTGTTGGATAGACGTTCTGGGTGTGTTCTTAACATACCTGGATGTTGAGATGTCTGAGTGGAAAGGGAAGGACCAGGTATTTATTGTGATGATTGTAGATATATATTGATCAGCTTATGTTTTGGTATATTCTGGATTTTCTTCAGTACCTGTTGGTCTATGGGAGGCTGCTTCTGTTGATGAAGTGAAGAAGGGAAAACTTTTTACTTGATCACTTTCTAGTAAAAAGGGGTATCTGAAAAAATTAGAGAAGTCAGTAAAGGTTTTTCATTATTCTATTTTGGTAGGTTCCTCTCCACCCCAAAATAGCAACATATAGACTAATGGTAAAGCACCTCCACTGTACAAAACAGTGTAGAAGGTAATAAATATCCAGGGCATTAATGCAATAGTCATTTGAAGTTTGTGCTCTAATCACGTACGGCAACGTGATGAGATAATTACGAAAAGAGGAGGCAGTGCTGTTACAGAGTAGGCAATAATATTAATGGTCCTCCTCAGAAACAGTGAGCCTTTCTGAAGGAAATATTTGGATGATTAGGGATGGTTACCAAATTTTGTAACCTCTCCATACCTATTTAGAAATCTGTCTTGGGTGCGTACCTGAAAGGTTACAGCGAAAGTACTGGAAGGCAGCTGTGGGTGAGATGAATTACTTATGAGTGTTTGTAACATCAGCTTTTAGACGTTGCTAAGGATTCTTGCATATGGTTTTTTCCCTCTTTTTGTTCTAGTTTCTCCTTCTGGCTTTGAGAGCGTTGCTCGTGTAGAAGAGGCTCTGAACGGCGAGCTGATGAACGAAGACATCCGTATCCACAGCTGGCCTTGTTCTTACTACTTGGGCACCAGCAAACAATGGGTCTCTGGCAGACTCTCGCTGACTCCTGTTGCCATCAAATTTACAGCTGACAAAACTGGGGAGCTTTTGGTCAACTTCCATCTTTCTAGTATCAGTGAGATCAAGAAGGAATCGTCAAATTTAATCTTCAGCTCTCTTACCATCTTGGAGAAGAACACCAAGCACTGGTTCAGTTCTCTGCAACCCAACAGAAATGTGGTATTCAACATCCTTGAGCACTTCTGGAGGGAGCAGTTGCTGTCGAGCCAAGGTGCGGGAGCAGAAGCAGCAGCTTTGCAGTCAACAAAGGGAAAAGAACTGACTGGGTTATTGACCGGATCACAGAAACGCCTGGAGGACACAGCAAAAGTGCTGCATTACCAGGGGGAGCAGTTTGATAACATCATGAAAGGACTCAACAAGATCGAAGGGGATATGGATGTAGCAGACAGGTACGGTACTGTAGCATCCTCTGAGCTAAGCAGTGTCTGTCGGGCTGTATTGTTTATGCCTGAAATGTATGGGGCAGATCCATGGAGGTCGTTAAGTAATTAAACTGTTGATTTTTCAGTGTAAGTTTAAGCTCATGATGGTCTCTTGTGGATCTAGTTCTTGTTCTGAGATCTTTCTGTATTTCTGTCCTCCCTTCTGTGTGGCATTTTTTCACTCTGGTGAAGTAGTTTGTATACATACACACCTATTTTCTCTCCTTCAAATAACTTTTAAGCCCTTATGAGTTTCAGGAACAACTGGCAGAGATGGTAGAGATCTCCAAAATATTGACAACCTCTAAGTTTTGAGAGAATAGGCAACTGGTATTTCCTTATATGGAACTAATAGTCACTTATAGGGAATACTTCCTGCCTTTAGGTCTAGGTGGAATAGATACATTTTGAGGAAAAAATGAGCAGTGCTGAGCAACACTGAGCTGCTGAGCTTTGTCTGCAGAGTGTGGTGGTGTGAGAACTGGAGAGACAGCGCTAGACTATTTGTGGTAATCTCAACCAGGCTCTTAAGCCAGTGTATTAAAAACAATTGCCATCAAGTGCTGTCTTTGGACAACCGAAATGAGAGGTTTGGAGCACATTTGAGGTATTGCTTGAATTTACCTGTTGCTAAACTCGGGTGTGAATAGTAAATGGTTGGTGTCTTAATCAGAACGTTATGACTTTACTCTTTAATGTTTAACATTCAAAGTGAATTATTCTATGCTGGTTTTTATGCTGCAGGTTGCATTCAATAGCAGTCCAAAATAGGCAGTAGGGTTAAGAGTAGTATGGTAACGTTTGAAGATGTATAGCTATGAGTGTCTTCGTAGAAGCTCTGACACCTGCATGAAGAAACGAACGCAATAAAGTTCACACTGGTTGTTTTTGGAAGAAGCATCTGTTTTCAGACGGATATCACGTCTGAAAGAAAGTGTTGATTTCACAATGAATCTGGTGATATTCTCCATTCCCTTTAAAGAAAAGCCAAGATAACTGCAAGCTTCAGCAATAGCTTTTCAAGTCCTGTAGCAATAAACAATTAGTAGGAAAATAAATACCTGCTCATTGTTTTTGGAAGAGAGTTTTGTTTTGGGTTAGGATGCACTGGGAGGTATTATTTGTCCTCATGAATCTGAAGAGCTAGATGCTTTGATTTTTATAAATGGGAAAAAATAAAGAAAGGCTTTGACCAAATGTTAGCTGAGATTCTGTTTTATCTGCAGGATGAAGAGTTTGGCCGGCTTGCTCGCAGACTAAAATGCAGCCCAAAAGCCATTAGTGAAATAGTGTTTTAATTGCACTGTGTTTTTTTGAGGAGCTCTGACACTTAGTTTTTCTAGCATAGCTCGTATGTGTGTGGTTTTTCCCTCATAAAGTTGCTTCCCTCCCTGCAAAGTCTCCTCTTAAACTGAGGACATCTTTCTTCACGTCCATAACCAATGTAAAAAACGGGGAAGACCATGGCTGAAACTCATTTGATTGTTACATATTGGCTAATTCAGACTATTAACGTAGCTAAATATTCTCATATCTGTTAAGGCTTTTTGACTTTTGCTTTCTTTAGAACTTGATGAGAAATAACTGCATAGATAATATCATGCAGGACTGTTTTGCATGTGTAGCAGATTTTGTGCAGAAGGAAGCTTGGGTGCCAGACTCCTGTGCTGGCTCGTTTGAGGTTAGATGAGTGACACCAGTTTGGTGGTGTCTTTCATAAAAAGAACCAGGCCTCTTTATCTGTTTTCATATGTTTAAAACTTTGATTAACTTTATCTTGCCTGTATGTGTGGGCTTTTTTGGATTATTAATTCTGTTCTTGTGTATGTCTGGGTGTATACAGCTGCTTTCAGTGGACCTGCGTGCAGATAAGCAGAGCTGAGTCTGACGTGCTTGCAGATGTTCAAAGACCAAAAATAAACAGAAAGCCAGATTCCCTGGTTCCTCTTTAATATATTACTATGAGAAGATGAGATAATCTGGTTGCAGATTTTCATTTGTATATAAGGACTGGTCATGTGGTTTGTTGATACAGACGGGTGACTCCTCTGTGGAAGGCCAGAGAAGTTGGCTGGAGCCTTCATTAGGGCTGTGCAGCAGAAATATTTCGACTGTAAACCAGACATCGCACAGCCAGGATGGCAGTCCCTGGGGAAAGAGGGGAGGAGACCGGTAAAGGGATCAAGTGATAAAAATTCAGGCTCAAAGCTATCCAGAAGAAGTTGCCACAATGTAAATGGAGGTTTAGACTTGCCACGTAGCAGCTGTTTTTCAGTAAGTGAATGCACGTGCTTTTGTCATGGTAAATGCAATGAAGAGAACCCAAATTGTGGCAGGAATTTAATGACTTCTCTTAAGTTAAGACACAAGCATAAGCTGTCGAAGCCAAGAAGGACCTTGTTGTAACTCTTACACGCACCAAGAGGACAGAAAACGTGCTTTGTGTTGTGTAGAAATGAGAGCAGGTCATTTTTTTCTGATTAGTTACAGCAGGTCGGGTAGAACATGGCTTTTCATTTGGAAGATGGTGAGTGCTAGCAGAGCCTAGGGCTTTTCCAGTCATTCCCTGTGCTGAACTTAAGTTGAACCTCCTAGTTTCAGAATTCAGCCCTAAATCTATGATACCGTGCCATTTCAGATTCTACTATTGCAGAACTTTGTTACATCTCCTTTGGTCTGTTTTGTTTGGGGTTTTTCCCCCGTTTTTTTAAGGAGAGGGCAGTGAAGATCTCCAGACCCATTACTCATGTTGCACGCTATCTACATAAACATCTGATTTTTGGGCTTTAGTCAGGATTAGATTCTTGAAACAATTCATTGTGCCTCTGCTATGTATGAATTCAGTGGTTGACTCCCAATACGACTTTTTCTGCTTTTCCTAGCAGACGAATTTCTTTAAGCAGCTCCGTTTTGAAGCCGGTGCAGAACTTAGATGGCTAATAAACAAAGTGTGTTCAGTTAGAGCTTCCTCTTGCAGATTAGACTTTGACTGCAGCCAAATGAAACAGGATTTTAAAACTGCAAAGTTTTCTGTAGACATGGTCTGATTCTCATGGAAAATAAATCCTTATAAAAAGTATCCTGAGAGCAGCGCTGCTGTGATGCGTGTTTTGTCAGGCAGTACCTTTCTAGAGTAAACATAAAAGCAAATTAAACCAAGCAGGCTCTCCAAAATAGCAATGAAGCAGTGGCACTTTGTATTTGGGTCCGATAAGGCTTACGTCTCTGGGATTTATGTCAGTATGTAGTTTTCTGTAGCATCAGTAAGATGACAGTGTTTCATTAAAGATTTTATTGCATGTGGTCTGGCTTCATTAGAAGCATCTACTTAATGCCAGTGGCACGTGTCTAATCACTGGATAGTCTTTGGGGTATTTATAGGGTGTGAGAGACACAAATCTCATCTGGGTTGAACTTCCTTACAGCTTTTTTTCTTTTTTAGCCTCTTCCCTCCTCATAGTTTATTGAGAATCCATTCGTGCCTCCAGAAGTGGTTTTCCTGTTCTGGAGAGATCTCCATTTAAAACATCCTGATCAGGGTAGTTGCTTGCAGGCTGGTTTGGTTTGTGGGATGCTTCCAAACCTGTTCACTGCTGTTTTCCAGTGGGGACTGGGTAGCGTTGTTTGAGCAGTGGCTACATCCCAAAGGGCTCACCTGGGATCTGAGCACTTTGGCTCAGATATGAGGTGGGTACCAGGGGCTGCTGGTGGATGAGAGAGGAGGTGGCTGTTTGCACAGTGGGTGAGAGGAGGGGGCTATGAAGTTACTGTTGACTGTGCGGGGAGATGTAGTTGGCCCCAACATTTTTTCCTAGCTACTGAGGCTGTGTCACCCTGACTCTGCTAGCAGGATGGGTTTGGGTGATAGGCAGGGGATGAGAGGAGAGTGGGAGACATGGAGCATCATAGGTGCTGACTGTGGCTCTGCCCCTAACTCCTGTCTAGACCTAACAGGCAGCACAGCACATGAAAAGCCAATCCAAAACCACCACCTTTCCTCTCATTCCCATTTTTTGGGGTAGGAAGAGTACTGAACGCTTAGACCCAAAGAAATCTGTGATTGTGATCCTTTCTTGGGAGAGGACCCCAGAAAAGAAGAATGGGCTGTGCTGACAGAAAACCCAACAGAAGGATTGTGTCCTTCTTATCACTGATTCTTCCTAACAGAGTTTTACATCTTTCTTGCGTGCAGCTGATAAGCTGAGGTGCCTGCTTAGGTGCATCTTAGAAATAAGGGATATTACTCCCTGTGTTACACAGTGGTCTTCCTTGGGAGCAGTTGCTTAATTCCTCCATAAAGTGAGTCCAGTTGTCTTTAAGCTAAGGCATGAGTTTGCCAGCAAGGAGTCCTGTCTCCTTCAGGAGCTACATCAACGTTGATGGTGAGGCAGACTCTGGACATCAGTGGGCAGCCTCTGCTGGGCTTTTCAGCCACAGCCTTGCACTCTTAGTGTTTTAACTGGAAATGAGAATTTGGGAGTGAGGGCAAAGGAAAAGGTGGCATCAGACTATGGGACTGAGGTATAAGGGAGTAGGAAAAGGCAGTGGTGGTGATGGCCGAGTGTGGAAACGTTGAGGTAAAAGGTGGTGTTAGCCGAAAAGCAGATGGGCTTAAATTGGCCTGAATAAATCCAATTGGAAGCTGGATTTCTCACATCAGAACAGTGAGATTCTGAGACCACTTTCCAACACGTTAGCAAAGAAAGAAAAGCTGTTTCTTAAAACAGATGGATCCTGGTAAGCTGTGAATAGGTTTGAGGAGCGAAATAACAGAGGGCTGGATTCAGTATTAAGAAATCTTGGTGTCTGTGGTACTTTGCTTTGAACTGGTGGGATAGCATGACCCTCCTGCTGGCTTTCACTCTTCTAACACTCTCTTTTCTCTGCTAGGTTGTTGACTGAACTCGAATCTCCTTCTTGGTGGCCATTTAGCAGCAAGCTCTGGAAAGCGCCACTGGAAACCAAGCCAAAGGAAACTGCTACAGTTTCCGATTCGAAGAACCAGGAAGGAATCATAATTAGAATTCCCGTTATTATCACCCACAGAACGGACTCAAATGTCAAGCCAGGAAAACTCACGCTCTTTGCTTCTGGCCTGGAAATCAGTGACTGCAATTCTCAGGTCATTCACCGGTTTGAATCGAAGGATGTCGATGATATCAGAGTTCATACGCCATATGAAATCAGTGTCCGTCAGAGATTTATTGGGAGGCCCGACACCTCTTACCGGCTCTTATCAGCAAAGATGCCAGAAGTAATCCCTGTCTTGGAGATGCAGTTTAGCAAGAAGATACAGTTTTTAGAAGATGCCCTAGGATTCGTTGGTGCCAGGAAGTCTCCTCAGGTAGATTTGGGGACCTCCATTTGGCAAGCAGGTAAGTGGCAGCAAAGCAAATAATCTGTAAGCAGTAACACTAGCACCAAAAGTTTCCAAAAGGTTTTCAAACTGAGAATCATATATAATATTTATCAGGCAAATCCTCTTCCTCAACAGTGACACCAAGCTGGGGGGAAGTGTTGAT